GTCTAACTTTGTGTCTAACCCAGTCGCTGTAATCTGTGTGCCTGGGTGTGTGTGTGTGCATGTGCGTGCGTGCGTGCGTGCGTGCGTGCGTGTGTGTGTGTGTTTGTGTGTGTGTGTGTGTGTGTGCGCGCGCGTGTAAGCGAGTACGTGTGCGTGTGCGTGTGCGTGTGCGTGAGTGCATGAAACATACATTACGTACTCAAACATAGAATGTCCTCTGAACCGAGAAAATCTTTCCTTTGACCTCAACCTACATTTCCCTGCCCCGTCCACATTTCGTTATAGCCACGGCCATTCTCTGACCAAGTCATTCAACTCCGTAGAAAACCTGGTTTATGTACGTCTGCCATCGCTCCATACACATTATAGCAAAAACAACCCCCCCAAAAAGACAGTATTGGTTGGTCTTGAAAATTCTCAGTTGCGGTTAGAAACACAAGAAGGTAATGACTGTAGGGCCTAACACAGCATTGCAGATAACAGGAAACTTGGCCCCCGTTTCTCCACTTCACTGACTGGCGTTTCTGTCAGCACTTACAAAAATCCTCTATTCTGGGATCGAGAAGTCGCCAAATTATGATCTGTGGATTAATCAATTTCCCCCGTGCATCTTTGGAGAGAGATCTAAATACCCTTGATTTGTACATTTTGTCTATTAGTACAAAGAAAATAATTTACTTGACGTAGAATATTGACCCTAAAGGCATGACCTTTGCTCTCAACTGAGAAAAAAAGTAGTCTGTAGTATGCGAGAAAGAGGAGCGTACCTTGGCCTGGTTGTGCAGTGTTGGAGGAAGGTAAGAATGCACTCTCTGCTCAACGTTCAGACTAACTTCAGACTCGAGGCCTACTTCGGAGTGACGTCGAGGTGTGTGTTTCTCTTCTTTCTGTGCCGGAGATGACAAGCAATAATCAGTGGTCGTGAATCCTTACACAGAAAAAAAAAGTGAGCAAATCCCTCGTCTAAGCGACATCATCTTCCTCAGGTAAGTAACGACAGGAACACTTTGATAGATACGTGAACTGACCCTTCCATTGTATTGTTCCCCCTGTGAAATCAATCTTTGTTTTACGGCAACGTTCACTTTTGCCTGCATTACACCATAGTTCTTCTCGACATTTATGATCCATTCATAAAAATCAGCTCAAGACTGTTCCTTGTAAAACTTTTTTAAAAATAGATTCTAGATGTATATAAAAATGGAGGCAGCTATTTTTCCGACAGCTTTACTTCGATGTGGAACAATTCCTCTCTCCCACTGTATTGAACAAACCTGACCTCTGAGCGTATGGAAATCTGGTTTAAAAAAACATGTTTATAAAAAGCTCAATGTACGAACTTGTCTTCTTGATCTTCCAACAGCTGGTGTGATCAGTAGTTAAAGTGACTGTCTCAATTGTGCTTGTGTCTTCGTCAGATTACGACTGTATCTTTTATAATATTGTACTTGAAAGGTTAAATGGGCCCGTATCATATTATAGGCCTATGTATAAACCGTTGATGGAAATTTTATATTATTATTGTATCGTGAGTTCAGCGCCTCGAGGCAGCGTGGAGTATGGCCTTATAGAAGTGATCTTTTGTTAGCTTAGTAGTAGGCCTTGTTGTTGTGGTTGTTGTTTTTGTTGTTGTTGTTGTGGTTGTTATTATTATTGTATTTGTCGTTGTTGTTGTTATTATTATTAGGGCATATTATTATTATTATTGTTGTTGTTGTTTTTGTTGGTGGTGTTTTTATTGTTATAATTATTGTTATTATA